GTAAGGAAGGATGGTGGTTCAATCCCCTGTTTTTATCATACCATAAGATGGTATTCTTTCCTGCCTGATGTTCAACAATTGGGGGTTAAGACAGATTGTCTCTGAATCAGTATATTGAGTCTGAGTGGGGTATCTTTGATGAATGTCATGGTAGCCTAGTGGTCTGTGACTATAAAGCCAACATAAGTCAAGACCAGAACACACAGACACACTCCAACATGTAGGGTAACCTATTACTCTCTATGTAAGGCATCTGGGACCATATTCCCCATGATATCCCAAATTGACAAGCACAATGAAAACGACCATTTTGAGATGCTTGCAGCGAGGGTCAAGGTTACCCCCAGGCTACTATCGGCAACATCGGTTGACACTGAATTAGAAGAGGCTGCATAATAAGGGGCGGAATAAAACACGAGGCATCATGAAAATCAAAGCGTCTTCTCTTCCCTGCCGACAATTGACTTCTTTCAGTGGTCTGATTTATCTCCAAATATTTTTTGTGTCAGAGTCGGAGCCAAGTTGCCCAGTAGACATGCTCAAAATCCCGGTTCAGGTACCTCCATCCCATTTGTTCGATATCCTCCCCATGTACACTACAGTCCCACGCAAAAACATCAAAGGCCCGCTTCTAGAGTGAAAAACAACACTCAGTGAGTCAATGTGGCCAGCTCCTTTCTTAGTTCAGAAACATTGAGTGAGTGAGTGAGTGAGTGAGTGAGTGAGTGAGTGAGTGAGTGAGTGAGTGAGTGAGTGAGTGAGTGAGTGAGTGAGAGAGAGAGTGTTTACCCATGTTTTTATCAGTATAACCTGGGCTTCATGGAATGAGACAGGTTGTCTCAAAGCTTGGCATGATATGGAACCACATTGATTGATTGATTGAATGATTGATTGATTGATTTGCTGGGAAGGGGACAACAGGAAAGGAAACAGGTTGTCTAAAAGCTCAGGTAGTAAAATGGACCACATAGTGATTGACTGATTGATTGGGCAAGGGACACCAGGGTAGGAAACTGGGCAATGAGATGGTCACATGGCGAGTGTGTGACTGAGATGAACATTGTGACACAAAGATCAAGCTTCGGCGTACAGGAACAAATCCAGTCTCATTCTGCATGACAAAGAGATCAAAATTTGAAATTATCAACACCAGACCAGTCTTGATTCCATTTGCCTTAAGTGCCAAAACAGAATACCAGTAAGTCTCAGGAAGTCAGTACTGACACAGGGGCAACCACATCCTGATCTTGAGTGAGTGAGTGAGTGAGTGAGTGAGTGAGTGAGTGAGTGAGTGAGTGAGTGAGTGAGTGAGTGAGAGTGAGTGAGTGAGTGAGTGAGTGAGTGAGTGAGTGAGTGAGTGAGTGAGTGAGTGAGTGAGTGAGTGAGATTTTACAATGCTTTATTTGCAGTAATACAGCAATATCATGGTGGGGTACACCCGAAATGGGCTTCACTCATTGTAACCATGTTGGGAATTGAACCCAGGTCTTCGGCATGACAGGTGAACACTTTAACCACTAGGCTACCTCCTACTCCTCCTGATCTAAGGTAACACCAGCTACTCACACAATTCACACAAACAGGAACAAATTTCCGTGTTTGTTGATGCCACAAATCGCTACCGAAACTGTAACTACACCTTTAAAATATGTCCCACTTACTTTACAGATTTCAACCAACCATTCCATTTCGTATTTATAGGAAATTATGAAATTTCTGTCTCTGTTATCAGACTGACATATAATTTGAGAGGTATGAAACATTAAATCATAAGATCTACAAAATATTTGTAATTATGTTCCTGGAATCCAGTGATTGCAACTCTGAGTTAACCTCTGATAGTCACATCTCTTGTATCTCTCCCCAACTGAAAACATCCCTCGTAATGGGAGATTACACTGGTATTCACTTTACCAGTAACCCTTTAGGGAGGGATGAGTTTAAAAGTTAGACTATATCTATTGTCGACTTCTTGTCTCGGCTGACACTATTAATCACCATTGTCTAGAACCTGTACATAATTGGAATAACTTCGCTGAATTTTCCCATTGATGGTAAATAACTCCATGAATCTAATAGGGAGCATAGACACGTTGCAAATGTTGCCGAAAGTCCTTCAGATAAAACAGTAGAGGCAGGGCTGAGACTGGCTTAATGAAGCACCCTCTGCCGCAGCCAGGCTCTCATTGTCTTCCAGACGCCGCCACGGTATAGCAGTTTCCTGAATACTCGTACTCGCAGATGAGGAATTTCACTACACAATACAACCATTCAACATCACAAGTTCCTGCATCAAACGATGTATTGTTGATGGTAATGCGTGTATGAATATCCATTGGTTACTATAAGATGACTTTTACAAGCATCCCTGTGGATGGTGATGGCCAATCTTGGATCATTAAGACTCCTTGATTATTGAGTAAGATGATCTCGAAGTTTGTAATGAATTTATAACATTACTGGTGTTCTATGGCATCCGACTAACAAACTTGGTGTGCTCATTAGACTTCATCATGCAATTATCATTGTGAATACAGAGAAGGGTTATAGCATCAGGTCTCACAACATCGATCATACTCTGGCTTTCATTTGCTCATGTCCGAACCTTAACCTTGACTTTGAATTTCATCATGTTTTTAATGATGCCTTCCACACAACTTTTACAGCCATGTGCTTGCACTTATATGTGCGGCTGAAACTACCTGAACGTATGTTGCTGTCACTGTCCTAGATCTATGTACTAGAACATGGATCCGACCTCAGAACAGTGTATTAGAAGGTCAATTACATCCATCAAAATTCAGTATCAAGTGTCCATGGTATGGATCCGACCTCTGTATTAGAAGGTCAAGTACATCCATCAAAATTCAGTATCAAGTGTCCATGGTACGGATCCGACCTCTGTATTAGAAGGTCAAGTACATCCATCAAAATTCAGTATCAAGTGTCCATGGTACGGATCCGACCTCTGTATTAGAAGGTCAATTACATCCATCAAAATTCAGTATCAAGTGTCCATGGTACGGATCCGACCTCTGTATTAAAATTGTATTAGAATGTCAATGTCAAGGATCTGAACACTTTATTGGAAAGTCAAGAAAATGTATCTTAACCTTAACAGAAGAAAGATATTGCCAGTTTGTAAATCCCTCATCAGTTACAGCTGGAAAGTCACATCATAAACCGTTGCATGAAAACCTCCTTTTAAGTAAAAAGTAGTCTTGTGGTGAACTGGGTGAAAAGGAGAACAGTATCTCCTCTCCACAAATTGTTGAGATCTTGCAGCAATATCGTCAGTGGAGCAGCAGAACATCATACACAACAACCGAACAACTCAATAAGATGTTCTTAAACTTCTTTTGTGTAATATACATTACGATCCCAATCATATATACCTCATCCAATAAACCAACAAATATCCTATCAATACAACCATTGTGTTATCAGGTCTTCCAGCTCAATGTTTCTGCGAACCCCACGTAGCCGGACACCAGCCAAGAACATGATTACCGCCACAATGGTTATTTAAATCCAGGACTCTAGAAAGCAATTGCAAATGCATGTCTTTACCAAGCAATTGTCATATTTTCAGAATGCATCATTATACTATTTGAATGAGAAGAGATAACTTTTCAGCAAGTCAATTTCATCAGGCTCATAAAGAAGCCTTCTTTGTAAGCAGTAGCTGCAGGGCTGGAAGCCCTATCCTCCTTAGTTCATGTACCATGTGGAGGAAGACTTTCACTGAACAACGACCGTAATAGAAAGTCAGAATGTAGGCTAAAGCTGGGTAGAGTTTGGTCTACAGGAGCAGAAAGGATGCCTTTGATTACAACCAATCCTTTCCCCTCCCTGTACCCATTCATCAATGTCCGAAACCACATCAATTTTCATGATTTTTCCAAAGAAACCGATTTGGAGTTACACTGAAAGATTCCATTCGAACACACACAACAACTTTCTGTCAAGCAGAATTTATGAGTTACAAATATGATTTGATCAAAAAGTAAGATGGTTCAGGAAGGGGTAATTTTTTTGTCAATTTCCAGCACACAGGAAGCTCCTATAGATAGTGCATCGTCCATTATGAAATTGCTACGATATTGACACAAACTTCTTTGGACTGAAATCCTCTCAACTTCCCAATAACACTGTGTACATAATGTTCAGCAAGTTGGAGGCATGGACGTCATCAACAAACGAGTTAATTGTATTAAAACTGGCACTAGTCTATCAAGAGCGGCAAATCCACAGTAAAACGGCATTAGCGCCATCAACGGCAGCCTCTGTTTGGTGTTCTGGGTTTACGAGGGGCACTAGTACACTGGCAAATGAAAGAATCATCTGTTTTTAGTCTTTACAATAATGAATTCTTGAATATAGGATGTATTTTGGGAATTTCCAAGAGTTGAACTTCTACTGTAGAAGTAGGTGTCCTGTACAACAAAATAATGCTTCATTGACTCCAGCTGCCAGGGACGTGCAATAACCTTGCACTGGGGTTGTATGACGCCATTAATCTCAGTTGAGTGAAGTTTAATGCTCTGTCTGACATAAACTACTGGGTAGAGTGAGTGAGTGAGTGAGTGAGTGAGTGAGTGAGTGAGTGAGTGAGTGAGTGAGTGAGTGAGTGAGTGAGTGAGTAGTTACCCATGTTTGTATCAGCATATTGCTCAGTCTGACATAAACTACTTGGTAGAGTGAGTGAGTGAGTGGTGGGGCAAAGGATGAGGAAAGTAGGCAGTGAGATGATCACATGGAGTGAGTGAGTGAGTGAGATTAAGGTGGGGACACACAGATCAAGCTTCACCAGTGAATGAGTTGTGTATCACTTCTTTCACACATATCTAGTGGGAATGAACAGAGGCTTAATGGGCAAGCACACTATCCGCTGGACTAACTCATCCCCCTTTGAAAAGAAAGTGAGGTCCAACCAGAGTGAGTGACAGGGATGAGAATGAAGTTTTGAGAAAAACTCTGAAAACTAGCCGGGGGCTTAGCATCTATCAGATTTAGACGAATCACAAAATGACCCTTGGCCTGATGAAATTCCCCGAATTCCGCGGATCTGCGGAGAATTCTCATCCCTGGAGTGAATATTTGAATGTCATGTGACTCTGAACAGAGTTCCTGTCGTATCATGTATCAGCCTGGTGTGGAAGGAAAGTGAAAAGTGACGCCAACATTTATCACTTGGGTGACCACTAGCATGGGTCTGGCGCTGACAAATCTTAAAGTCATAATCAAGGTGTGCCAGGATTTAAACCCAACGGTAGTTCCATACAGTGAACCTTGGCCACCTGTTACAGAAGGTGTCCAGAAGGAAGAATGGGTTTGACAAGTTGCCTTGAAACCCATGTTGTGTACCCAACAGGAGTCAGTTAGTAAAGTTTTTGCCTGAGCGAGTGAGGGAGTGAGTGAGTGAGTGAGAGTGAATATGGTTTTACGTTGCTTTTAGCAATATTCCAGCAAAATCACAGCAGGGGACATAAGAAAGGGCTTCACACATTGTGCCAATGTGGGCAATCGAACCGGGTCATCCGCAGTGGACACTTTAACCACTAGACTACCCCACCGCCCCTTATACCCAACAGGAACTTCACCATGTTTGATACACTTTCCATAACAAAATCCAAAATCTACAACAACCATATCATAGAACCCAAATTACTTCTGTTCACAGAATAAAAACCTTAAAACAAACTTACAATTTGCAATATTGGCTCAAGGAAGAATGTTCATCTCTCCAATGAGTTACTTGAAACTCTGAACACCATTTGTGAGGGGCATCGCAACAGATCATTTCCTTCATGGGAATAAAAACAAATAGTCTATTCCCGACAAATTTTACAAAATGGTGTTGGACATATTTCCATGGAAATGATATAATTCCTGCGGGCCAGTCTGAGACAATTGTTCTCTTCAAGATTGTCTTCTTTAATGGAATCTAACAATTTTGGGTGAAACCCGACTACTCTTCTGGGACCTAGAAGCGGGATAGGTGTACAAGACTCGAACAGAGCCAAACAGGCAATTCCCACACAGCACTTCACAAAATGAAGTTAACAGACTGTGTCCACAATTCAATTAGATTATTATTTTCCCAACACTCTCCATCCTTTTGTTTTTGTAAGGAAGCGTCTGTAAGGAAATCGCCACAGACAACTGAAATGCCATGAAAATTGGAAATCCTCATTCCGCTTGCATCCCAATCCTGATTTTGTGTGTCCCAACCACTCCCCCTATTCTACCAGTTGCATTAGGCAGACTCTATCAACTATTTTCCTTCTAAAATGTCAAACATGAAATTCTATTGATTTTCTGTAGGATCACTTCATTCCTTTGAGGAAAGGTCGTGTGCATGGGTAGCGTTTTCGGAAGAGAACACTGTTTGATGTACAATGCCAACGCTCCACAGGAAGGTCTCTGTTGTATACAGTCCTCCCTTTTTAAAATGTTCCTGTTATAATGCCATTCTGGTTATAATGCCCCCTCTTCATATGCCACCCTGGTTATAACATTCCAGGTAATAATGCCCCTTCTCCATAATGCCACCATGGTTATAACATTCATGATAATAATGATCCCTCACAATGCCACCATGGTTATAACATTCATGATAATAATGATCCCTCACCATGCCACCCTGTTTATAACATTCCTGGTAATAATGCTCCTCACCATGCCAACATTGTTATAACATTCCTGGTAATAATGCTCCCTCTTCATAATGCCACTCTGGTTATAATGTCTGTTGATAATGCCACCCTGGTAATAACATCCCTGGTTATAACCCCCCTGTTCATAATGCCACACTCATAACATTCCTGGTAATAATGCTCCCTCTCCATAATGCCGTCCTGGTTATAACATTCCTGGTAATAATGCCCTCTTCATAATGTCAACATGGTTATAACATTCCTGGAAATAATGCCATCTTCGTAATGCCACATGTTATAACATCCATGGTTAGAATCACCTGTTCATAATGCCACAGGTTATAACATCCATGGTTATAACCCACGTTCATAATGCCACAGGTTATAACATCCATGGTTATAACATACTTGATAATGCCATCTTGGTTATAACATTCCTGTTTATAATGCAACCCCGGTCTCTGTTACACACAGTCATCCCTTGTCATAACACACCCTGTTACAATGCTGTAATGGCTAACAAGACACCGGTGCTAATTTCTGTGATTATATTGTCAACCTGGTTATAATGTCCAGCCTTATAATGCCTCTGGATATAACACCACAAACATTCTTATGTCTCTGGTTATAATGCTTGTCTAGCTATAATATTCCCTGGCTATACTGACTGACTGACTGAGTTTAGGTTTACGCAGCTTTTAGCAATATTCCAGCAATAACATGGCAGGGGACACCAGAAATGGGCTTCACACATTGTGCCCATGTGGGGAAACGAACCGGGGTCTTCGGCGTGACGAGCCAACGCTTTAACCACTAGCCTACCCCACTGCCCCTCCTTGGCCATAACATCACACTGGTCATTCAATACCTTTTCAGAACAAAGACGGTGACCAGAAGCCATGACACATGTGTCAATGCACTTGCAAAGGTTTGTTTTAGATTGTGCTTCTGACAAACTGACCAATTATCAGGTGGCACAAGGCTGACTTATGTGACAGAGTTTGTTCAATCTGCATTTAAACTATGCACAAATGGCCCAAAAAGGATTTCCTCTACAAGTACTATTCAAGACCTATTCTAGCCCGGATCTTCACGGGTCAAAATGGCTAAGTGCAGCGTTAAACAACAAACACAATCCTCTCCATATGACCAGCAGAGGATCATGGGAACCCATCCAGCCTGGAATTCTGGTACCAGCAGCACATATCTGGGGAATAAACCCAAGAGATAGAAGACTTAATTGGCACAAGAAGAGTGAACCACAGGCAAATCTAAATTTATGGCTCTGAGAGCCGATGCATCACGAAACATGTAAATGCCACCATAAGAAGGTGGGAACGAGTCTATGCTGCGAATAATTTACAAACACAATCTCGTTTTTATTCCTTCCAGGATGTATCAAACTTTTAAATTAAATCAGCTGAATATTGAATTCAGAAATTCCATTCAATTTCCATCAGAGGGAAAAAAATATCCAAATTTGGTGTAGTGTTTCAGATGGTAAGGAAGGCTTCTCGAAGATTAAACCAGCATCTGACCGAGCAAAGACCTCCGATAAACAACAGCGTATACATGTGAACAGCAGTTTGACTGAGCATCATGAATAATACGTGACTGATGAGGCTCTGTGGCACTGATGCCTATCACGAGAGCACTATAATGATAGATCAAATTAAATGTATTTTTCTGACAAGGCTTCTTGACTAACTACACACTACAACTCATAACCGTATCCTCCACTGCTTGATCCCGAAGAACATTGTTATACACACACACACAGGGTGGCATGAATGGTCTTCAGATGTTTGGTATAGTGGTACCACTGACACAACTGGCCAACTCCAAACAACATTTGTACAAGACTCCAGCAGTGTAGCTGATAAGATCCAAGGTCTGGTGAAATGTCTTGTAAGTTAATGGCCGTCATGTACGGCTAACTTAAATCAGCTCTGCAATGCTGAAAAACATTGCCAGGAATTATGGGATATCCGCTAAGCTGTGTGAAGATCTTTGAGTGAATGCATCGCGATGTGAAACCAATGCATGGGTTAACGGTAATGAGTCCCATAATGCAACGTTACAAACAACAAATGATAGCTTGGCTGCTGAGGCGCTTAAATGTCCATCGAGAGACAGCAAAACGTAAAAGCTATGCAGGGACTGGCTTTAATAATCTGAAGGGGAAGAAAGGTTCGTTTGCAATATTGGCAAGCTCTCTCACAAAACAAACAAAAATCTTCAACAAAAATTACCAAAACGGATTCGCGCCCAAACTGCGCCTACAAACGAACTTTCAACGACTGCCTCAATTAATCAACGAGGTGAAGCAGACGTGACATAAATTTCTAAAACTTGATTTACCTATGCAGGATGAAACCAAACTAACACAATCCCTATCAAATAATTGGATGAAAAAAAAGTGAATCCATCCAACACTACTTCAGAAAAATGTGCAATTTCATTAAAGTGCCATGCAAATGTGGACAAAGGCGCCATCCCAGTGTTGGCGATTTTGTTCCAGTTTATCACCTACAGGTCAGTCAATGTCACAAGTCCGTCATTTAATCAGCTAGAGACGCACAACAGGAAGTCGAGCAGACAGGTCAAACGCCAGTCTGGCCACCCAACTCTTTTCTCCTAAATCTCTTTTTAGAATTTACAAACAGTAATTATCCAAATCAATAATCTCCGAACCGATTTCTCCTTCATTTATTTCGAGTCAAAACAATTCCAGAGTATGAAGACTGACAGCTTCACAGATCTGTAAACCTTGTCTGAAACATGGCCTTTATTTAGATACGTTTGTAATTTTAGAAAATATGTCCTTATCTAAAATCTATGGGCAACAAAGTTCCCACAAAACTGCGAAGAATTTTTATTTAAATCAACAAGTTTCAAATTCCTATAATCTGCCACATTGTAGCCCATGCTTGTCTATCAATGGGGATTCTGTGATGAGTTTGTCCCTGGCAACCCATGCTCTTCTCTGAAAGGATTCTGTACGTCCAATGTAGCCATGCTTATTTCCCCAGGCAGAATAAATCCCTAGTTTCAACATACAAAACACTGGGCTCGATTAGTGAAATATACAAGCACTGGACTTGGGCACTGGAGATTCCGAATGTAGCACTGTAACTAATGATATTAGACTGGGATGATACCAAATGTACTACTGATGACTAAATGGTGTAACATTTTGTATTCCCCAGTCTTTTATCTGCGACACTGTGTTGTCATGTATTCCCCAGTCTTTTATCTGCGACATTGTTATGTCATGTATTCCCCAGTCTTTTATCTGCAACAGTGTTATGTCTTGTATTCCCCAGTCTTTTATCTGCAACAGTGTTATGTCTTGTATTCCCCAGTTTTGTATCTGCTACAGTGCTACATCTTGTATCCCCCAGT